AAACATATTATTTAACCGTAGGCAGAAAGTGCGCATTCTAAAAATGTAATTATGAGATATCTGGAAGCAATTGAAATACGATAACATTGCGGGAGAGAGATAGAAGACTCTCCCTCATCTCTTCGTATCTCTTTCGCCCTTTCGCATCTGGGCTGAAATATGAGTCAATTATACTTTCGTACGCATAAATTAATGATTAATTGCAAAATAAATTGACTTGCGTCACTTAATTACGTGATGCGCGACCAAAAGACTGTCAGACTTTTTCGCGCGCCCCTTTGTAACTGCTCGCCTGTCAACGCACACACACACACACACGCACACGAAAGAGAAAGAGAGTAGCATTTCTGCTGTTGACATTCACAGTCAAACATGCTTAATTAATGCCAACGCAGCTGCCATCGCTCAACCTCACCGCCTCGTCGACCACTCCAGCAACTGTACTGCGAAAGGCTCTGACAACGTTAACGGCCACATTAACGAGTGGAAAAAAAACCAAATACTGCTGCTGCTTCGGCTGCTGCTGCTACTGCTGCCGCCAGCCAAAAATAAACACTTGCAGGCATCATAATAATGATACATAGCCAGCCAGTGAGTGGCATTCGCCAGCGCCTTGCTCTTTTCTCCTTTCTCCTTTGGTCCTTGTGCGCCCAGCCCGGCCCCCGTTTAGCCAGTTACATTGTCAGAGTCTGTGTCAGAGTCGGCCCCGACTCGAACTCGATTGTCGTTTTCGTCATTGTCTGCCAAGCTCTCATAATTAAACATAATTTGCCAACAATGCCGTGGCGCACAGTAGTCACAATATTATGTATTACTCGGCATATTAGTGGACAACTTTTCCAGAAAGAGGGCGCTGTTTCGTTATAAAGATGCTTTACATTATATAAAAATTTAGCATTAAACCATAATTATTGTTTTCTTCATTTACAATTTATGTAATATATCAAGTTTTAACTGATTTTATCTTTAAAACTTATTTCTACTTATCAACTATATTCATTTTATATATGATTTGAACAAGCAGAATTCTTGGTTCTGTTTACCTGTCATACTCGATAGGAGTTTTTCCCATTTTTAACTTTTAATAAATGTGTTGTGCCCACTGTCATCATTTTTGAGGGATGCCTGTTGCCATTCCAGTCTGAGCGCCTCGAGCGCTGTTACGTGCAAAAATCAATAAAAACGCTGCCAAAATGGCTTTCGCGCCTTCACAGTTTATCCGCTTTGCCAGTGCCTGGCTCCGACTCTGAGCTGGTTTGGTCGGCACTTAACTTTCACATTAACTGCACCGACTTTGGCACCATTTGGAGCAGCGAAGCAATTAACGCTGAATTGATACGCACCGAGCTGGAGCATTGAACTTCACTTCGTTAACTTGCTTCGCTGGCTGATGGAAAGGGAAACGAGGCGAGTGGCGAGCAGCGCAGGGATTCGGACTCAGCTTATGCGTCGACATTAAGACGTAATTAAAACAGAGCCAAACGAGCGATGCGCCCCAAACCCTTTTGGCACAACAGGAGAAGGAAAAAGGAATAAAACGAGTCAAAAGATTATTTGTATTTAATTTCAAGTGCTGAATGCCAGGATGCTTCCGCTGCAGAAGTCAACCCAGAAACGAAGACAGTCGCATGTACTTTCCTTCTGTGCAGGGAACTTAATTATAATTAAGCATTTAAGTGGAACTAAGCGGCGCCATGGCAAATGAAGCGAACGTCCAGCCCTTCGGCTATATTCAGCCCAACTCCAGCAGTAACGATGACGACTACGACAATGACGACAATGGAACAGTGAATCGGACTGTTTGGGCGCCGGGCATTTGTGGGGTAGCAGCTGCGTCGTAATTGCTATGAGCGGCTCTCAAACTTTCGGCTGAAGCGGGTATTTAATTAACGTTCACAGTTCATCGTTCATCGCTCATCGCTCGAAGTCTGTTTTATTAGACTTACATTTGGCTGGGATATTTACGTATTTGTTATACTAGCGAGCGTCGCCAAGGCGACTTCGGATTAATTGTTACGTTGACTAATTTTACTTAAATGTGAGTGGCTCTTGTATGATGTAAAAACAAACTCAGCTCAAACAGCAAAGCCAACTCAAGTTGGTTGCCAGTGAAGTTGATGGGAGGAAATTAAAAATGCTAAAACAGGAGACTGACTGAAGGACGAAAAGGAAGCTGCTTGTTAAAACTGTTTGCAATGACAGCCTCAACCTGGTCAGCATGAAAGCATCTCAATTAGTGATGATGATGATGATGGGCTGCTGCCAGACTGGCTGACCGTCCTTAGCCTCTTATTACACAATTTCCACCTGGCTGGCTCAACAGGACACATTCAAAGTTGTTGTTGGCTGAAAGATCACGATAATTTGAACTAATTTTATGGAGTTATCAATCTTAAATGGGTCAGATTTGAGCAACACGAATGTTTGAACAGCCAAGTATATGAAAGAAAACAATTAATGTTGACTAAATGTTAAAAAGTGACTTCAATCAAATGTGAAATTTAAGTAAGTTTTTCGTAATGAATTAAAATGAGTTTTCAAACTGCACAATAAAATGAAAACGAAAGAAAAATAGAGTGAATATTGAATCTAGGCTTCGTTCAGATAACTAAATGTGTTTAAATTACAGGGTATTCCTTCAGTACATTCACTTTGTAGTCGATTTTGGTTTTCGTTTCAGTCTAACAAAATTCAATTGCGGCAACAGTCGGAGTAGTCGAGTGAGCCAACGTTGTGCATCCTGTCGATGCAAAGAACCTCAACCAAAGGCAAGCGACCCAGTCCCTACTCATTTTTGGGGTCGGCGGCACTCAACATGATTTCAAAATGGCATTGAATGTAGCATTAATTTGTACGCCACCAAGGACGACGAGGACCAAGCCGAGGACGAGGACGAGGACGAGGACAATGAAGTCATCTTCTTGTCGTTGCTACTGTCTGTCTTTAACTTTCATCCTGCAGCCGCAGCGCCTGGTTCGCATTTATAACTGTTTATTTGCTGTGCGCATTACTGTCTCAGTCTATCTGTCTCTCTCGCTACTGCTCTCGCTCTGTGTCTCTGTTGAGCTGCCTGAAAAGGATTAATTAAATGCCGAATACCCGTAGCTGCTGCTGCCCGCCCAAACATTTTCAATCCTCCTCTGTCCCTCTCTGTCTTTTTAAATGCAACTCACTCAGTCGCTCTGTCTCTCTCTCTCTCTTCCGACTCGTTTTTTATGCAGGCTTTGAAGTTTGAGGACGGCATAATTAGTTTAATGAGCTTTACTAGTATCGCCATAATGATTATCCAGCAGGCCGCACTCGCAGCACAAATTCCAACAACAAGTTATATTTACTTCATTCTCATTATGAGAATCTTTTTACTTTTCATTTATTTTAATTTGGATGCAATGAAATTAAAGTTACGAATTCATAATTACCCTGGCCAAACTCAAATGCAATTAATTAAGTGAGCATCAAGGCAGTTGGGATAACGTCAAGGATATGTTTGGCGTTTTCAATTTATTTACAGTTAGTCATTTAGATGTGTTTGCCTCCGCATACACTCACAAAGAACTGCGCTCATTTGCTGGCAATTAAGCGCACATAAAATTTCAACAAGTATGTGTGCGTGTGTGTGAGTGTGTGTATGTGTGTTGGTGTTGTGCGCCTTTACGTCATTTGAAATGGCGCCAGCTGCGAGAAGAGTCGGGTGGGCGTGGCTGTGTTAGGCGTTTAATGGGGTGGCGGCTGTTACTGTCTGTCTGTCTGTCTGTCAGTCTGTGAGCTCGCGTGTGTGTGTGCATTTTAATTAGAAACTTGTACGTTTTGCTTAATTAGACAAATTGTTTTAATATTATGTGCAAACTTTGTTGCACCAAACTGCGACAAATTAGTTTGGCAACACAGCTGCCAGCCAAACAAATCTGGGTCAACATTACTCATACGCCAATCCAAACCCAATCAAAAGCGGCTTAAATTTACAACGGAAAGCACTGCGCACAAAATTATGCAACACTTTCGTTGCAACGTAATTTTTGAGAGCTGAGATTTCAGCATTCACAAGATAGTTAAAGCAACACAAACCATTATCGTATTCGTATTCTCCTCTTCTGCTCTTAAGCTCAGTTGAATATGTATCGAAAATCCTCTTTAATTAAGCAATTCAACATTCAATGAACTGTAAATTCACGTTAAATACGTTGCACGAGTTGGCATACATTTATTTAATATCTTGATGGCAAAAAAATATATATATGTATATATAAACCGGAAGCCCTTGGATAACCCATCAGATATGAGTGCTTTTTTGTTCGGTAATAAATATACATATATATATATACATATATATATATATGTATATATATGTATATATATATATATATATTCGTTACGTGTAGGAATGAACAGTTTAAATAGCAAACTGGATTTTATTGATATAAATAATTATCCATTTGAATTCCTTAAATTGTTTTTACTTCAATTGATTTTCACAGTAAAAACTATAATGGTTTTGTAAAAATGTATGTTAGAAGCCGAAGGATGATTGGCAGACCTCATGAAGTATATATATTCTCAAAGAGGATGAGCTGACGACGACATAGCCTATCCGTCTGAGTTAGTCCATCGTATTAATGCAACGATCTCATAGACCACAACAGCTAGACTTGTAATTTTAAATGCTTACTTATGCATACCATATGCCGCACAAGTTTATCTTTTTTTCGGTAATTCATCCCATTTTCTTATCGATAATTTGACTTCGTTATTAAGCCCAGCTTGAATACTATTTATATTATATATATATATTTTTTGGATTTTGGATACCTCCCCCTTTTCCTTTTCCACTTATATTCACAAAAAATCCTATTTCAAATACTAGAAACTTGTGCTTTGGCAAAGACAAGCATCTGGATGCTATTATGATGCCCATAATTATGATTTTATTAAGAAAATCCATCTAGAAGAGAACTCCGATCTGCAGTCTGAAACATATCTTTTGCTTCAGTATTTATATATTTCATTTCATATATTAATTCATATTTAATATCAGTGTTCTGGAGCTTGCGTACTTTTCTCTTTAGCCGTTAACCCAAATTTCGATTTATTTGTGCTTTAAGATGCAATTTGTGCCGCCTGCAATAACAATTTTCTGTGTGCAATTCATAAAGCGAATTCATCAAACAAAATTTTTAGCCGTGGCAAAATAAACAAAATACATTTTTGGGATTTGTAAATGCTTTAATGCCTGATGCCTGATGCATAATGCTAAATGCAATTCCATCAGTCGCAACTGCTCGTTTGGCGAGTGTGTTTACAATAATTTGCTACTCAGAATTCGACAGATCGGGCAATTAATGAAAATGGGAACGCAATAACAGGCTAAAAATCCGAATTCTACAGAATTAGCTAAGCACTCAGAACTAATTTAAATTAAGGCATTTGTGTGTGTTCGCTGTGGGACATGAGCTCTAATTGGTTTCCGTCTCCACCGTCGCATCATCGATTTTCATCTTGGCGTAGAAATCGACCAACTCGTCCTTGCGCCTAGCCACGCCCAAGGCGCGTTGGTAGCTATCCTCCCAGGATACAGGATGCAATTTGGCCAGCTCGATGAGCGACCTTTGGGCAGCCGCTTGCATCTCCTTTTCGGGACTCTCATGGTACAGCAGTAGAATATCCATAGCGCGTTTGATGAATGTCTCCCACACTTCATGCTCGTATTCCACTTCCTTATCCTCCCCTTCACTCTTGAATACAGGACGTAATTTGCCAACCGCTGTGGCTGCAATGACGCGAATACCGGCTGAAGGATCATCCATGCGCTGCATGGTTGCATAGGCCAGTGGCTTCAGGGCCTCCACCGACATGCCCTGAAAGTAGCACATCGCTTTAATAGCGTAATGACGCGTTGTCACATTGCGATCCTCTAGCAAGCTTGGCATATGACTGGCGACCGAAGGCAGAACTTCACGAGCCTCCTCTTTGGCGCCTTGGGCTACTGCGCAAAGTGTTGCCATGGCCATGGAGCGCATGGCCTCGCCATGGGCGCCAGCCCTCCACGATAAATGAGGCTCCACAATTTCTGTAATGAAATTGCTCAGTAGCTGTGTGCTCTGCTCCCGTTCCACGGACACAGTTTCTGACCAGGAGAGCGCAGCTATCGAAAGAATACTAAAGATGCGCACCTGGGCCGTGTCGCAACAATGTTCAAAAACCAGCTTGATCTTCTCGATGAGCTGCGGTAAATATGTGGATCTAATTTGGCCCAAGTGGATGAGGCCGTACAGCAACAAGACAGGCTCAGCGTTCTCGTCAAGCGCAGCATCTAGGTTATCCACATCAAGTAGCACGATGCCGAACAAACTCTCGTGTAGCTTATCTAGCGTTGTCTCCTCCAGCTGGACAAGACGTTCTAAAATCATTTGACCTCGTTTCACGTCTTCGGTGTCATCGCTGTTTAGGGCGTAGGACAAGGCCATTACCTTCATGGCCGTCACATAAACGTTCTCATATAGCTCTTTCAGCTCCTCCATTGAGGCTGTAACCTTGCTGCACTTGTCCAATATCGTGTCCAACATTTTCAGTATGTACAATTGAAAACCGGGTTTAAGGGTGTGCGAGTAATCCGTGCATCTTAGTAGCTTGGCCAGTCGCTGTAGATGTTCATAGGTGCCGCCCAAGGAGGCGGTGAACATGTAGTAGAAACACTTGAGAAACGATTCCCGTGCATTGCGCTCCAAGCCATCAAAGCCATGATTGATCCATGCACCATAGCACAGCAGTCGACCCAACAGATCAGCTACCTTTTTAGCTTCAGCTGCGATAACGGGCTCAGCGTCGCAGCAGGCATGCGATACATGTGGATAGATCTCAAAGAACTTGGCCGTCATGGAAGCCTCGGCGTGCAGAATGAATTGATAGAGTAGCTTTAGCGAATGCAGACGCACATTCTCCTTCCAGTCGCTGGTCTCACGCGTGATGAGCTGCAGTAGGCGCAGAGAGCGCTGCACCAAGCCTCGACAGCCGATTGTGGGACGCTGTACATTGGCCGGATAGTTCTCCACGGGCAAATCGCATATCTCCTGTTTCGACAACTCCGCTTCGTTCTCTTCATAATATAGGTTTCCACATTTCTCCCAAAGTGGGCGTATGTACGCCAAGACTTCCGGTGAATCATCTTTAAGGCAACACAGTACCAAGGGAAGGATACGTTCAAAATACGAATAGCGATCTGGCAGCTCGAGCAACATTAACACCCCCATTTGACCGCATTCCCGACGCACCAAGGGCATCGAATCCATTAGCAGTGGAGACACCTCTGCCAGGAGCCGGCGCATACCTTCGCCGCTTGGATCTAGGTGTAAACTCACCCGGCCTATGGCCTCCACAGCTGAAATGCGGGCAGCTGAATGTCTATGATTTAGCATTCCATACAGAGCCACTGCTAGTGAGTCAGTGAACGGGCGCAACTCAACGGTGTCTGCCACACGAGCAAGCTGCACCAGTGTGGCACATCCTTCCCGCTGCACTGCCGCATATGCATCTTTGATGGATTTTATGAGCACCTTGACCACTTGTGGGTAGCACTCACGAAACACGCCAACATTGCCCATGAGCGCGTATTTGCGCAGCATCAGATGCAGTTGCTCAACGTATAGCAGACGGATCTCCTCGCTTGGCTCCACAGTCTCCGTCTGCCCCATGCGCTCGGCCAGCGTCGACACCACGTTGAGCAGGTGGAAATCTAAGGGCGGCAAGCGATTCAAAAATGCGCTCACAGCCAAAACGGCGCGATCACGCACACTCTCATATCGATCGTCATAGCATTTTAACAGATGCAGATAAAGCTCATCAAATTCGGCTGCGATAGCGTCAGTCGGAACAGATTGAGGCGCCTGCTCGCACTGCTCGCGCAGTGTGAGTAGCGTTCTGCTACGCTTGCGATGATCAGTGCTTTCCAGATCGGTGCAAATCTGTTGTATGTCCAATTCGAAACTCATTTTGGATTGCTTTTTCAGTTGTTGTAAGCAGGATTGTTACTTGATTTGTGCGCGCTGTAAGACGAAAACGAAACGGAAAACGAGAGACGTCAACAAGCACCGCTAAATGCATTGGTTGCTACGATACACAAATTCGAATCAATCACATTGTTTATTATTTATATAGAGGAGTCGTCGCTTAGCACACTTGACAACCAAACAACGAACACCAAACACGTGTGCGAAATTTTGCCGGCTAATGTCGACGATCAGCTGTTTGCGCTCAGCTGTTCACGCAGAACAGTGTTGTCATTGGCGCAAGGCCAGTGTTGTCAAACACCCAGTTGGGCGCGCTTTTTGAAGCCTGCTGTTGGTGTAGCATTTATGCTTCATTGTTTGCTCAACTAATTAACAAGTCATAAATGAAATTTCTCTGGAAACTTGGTGCGCAATTTGTGCCGCTGTCTTTTATGAGCGGCCCGGGTGGACTCATTAAAAACGGTTTCGCTTATCTTCGATGCAGCTATCTAATTGCGGTGTCGTTTCTTATCAGCAAGCAACTAACTAACGAGCGACAATATCTAAGATTGATTGCCAGTGCTCGTTGTTATTTTTATTTATTTTTTCTTTTTGGGGCGGGTGGGTGTTTGACTTCCTGATAAAATAATCACATAAAATGCCTATTTATATCGAGCGAAACTTAATTGCATTTTTGGGTCACTAAATTGGGTTATAAAAGTGGGCCGGGCAGTCAAATAAGTAGATAGTCAGAATGCTTAAAATGTTTTTTCTTTTTGTTTTGTATGCCATAAACCCTGTAACAATAGATTTTAATGCTGTTGGGCTAAGCTAATAAGTTGAACTAGGTATTAATAAAGACCTGTTATACGATATGTTATACAAGTGGGTGGCTAAAAGACGTTTTATGTCTATTTCTGTTGACCATAAACATTTAAGTATCTACATTTGAAAACAATATACTTTAAAATTCGTTAATATATGTATACATGTATAAAAAAACTTGATCACAGTAGCTTAAACGGTGCTTACATCCAAGATTCTGTTACTCAACATAACCGTTAATAGTTTTTATTGTTCTCATTTGTATCTATGGATCTTTTCCCACAGCAGAAATGGATGTATTGTGATGCCATTGAGGTATTTTTTAATTTCTCTTTCGCCATTTCATTTGTGATGCGAAACAGCTCCAAATTGAAGCGTTCCAGATCCACAATATAACATATTTTACGTGGTTTCGTTTCCTGCTTCATTTATATTTTCATTGGGCCTGTGTCAAAAAATGTTGTCGTCATTTTTATTAAAAAACCGCCGCTGCACGTTGTAGACCGGCAACATTTATAACTTTTGTGCCCACAATTCGATTTCATACCTTTTTGTTGACCACGGCACAGACAGAGGCAGAGCAGGAGAGAGACTGAGTCGCACGCTCCAAAGCAATTAAGCGCATGAATCAGGTTCAGGTTCGGTCCATGGGCACAAGCAGGGCATTGCGAGTGTGTGTTTGGTGTGCGTTTTTTCTTTTTAATATGACCATGCCGATTCAATAAAAAGCCATACAACCATACGAACTTGCATTCGCACACCGACAATACGGGCATAGCTACAGCTACAGCTACAGCTACATACCGGCCCAATAAACTTAATTGATATGAAATGAAGTCATTTGGCAAAATCACTGGGAGAGTAATGGACCGCGTTTATTCAATTTGATGTCTGACTGGCAGTCAGCATACATACATAGACGGCGTGTACATACATACATATACATACCATTCGTATTTATGTGCTTATGCATATTTTTATCTCTTTTCGAAAGCAATCGAGCATATGCATGTGTGTGTTTGATTTTATAGCTAAAATGATTCAATTAAAATAACATTTTAGCAGCGGCGCACGGAAGCCGCACGACTGCAATTCGGCCGCAATGGAAACTTGTTTGCGCTCTTATGATAAAGCCGAAATTGGCTGTGTTATTAAAGAACAACTACACACACACACACACACACTCAACCATTCACACACACATTCGCAATTAATAATTATACGCACAACACATTCAATTGCAGCAGCTACAAGATACATTGAGTCGCGCTACTCAGATACTTGTATTCGTGCTTGTTGGATTGCTTTTTGTCATGCTGTGCTCTAATTTGCTTTTACCGACTCTGAAATGGACTTGTTACAGCTGCCGTTTGTCGTTCGGTTGGTGCAGTTGACGCACTAGCTCGCAGTGGCAGTTGCAGTTGCAGTTGCTATTGCCTGGTTAAATGCAAATTTTCCAATTGATTGCGATGGAAATGGGCGAGCTGTAAGCAGCGACGCCGGCAGCGATGCTAGCAGCGACGTTTGGCACTGTTGGCCGCTAATTAGTTTCATTTTTCATCGGGCAACAACTGCGTCGATTGCCTGCTTAAGTGACTGACTTAATGACTGAATGACTGACGGCACCAATCAGCCGACTGACTGCTCGCTCCGTCTCAGTCCCCCCATGTTAAACTGTATGCATGTGTGTGTGTGAGTTGCTTAAGTGCGGGCTGCGCTGTTTGCTTCGATTTCTCGGAATTCAGTTTTGATTAGAAAAACAGCTAATGGGCTGCCCTCATATGCATATGCCGGTTTCGAGCTGCGCACTTGTAACTACGCTCCCCGCTACCCTTCCCCGTTGTTCGAGTAATTTTGTTGCTCTTCAATTTTACGTGAGTTTAAACTCTCGAATACTGGGCCCAGAACAAATTGAGTACTTAGCCCCTAATGATTATGTAGACACGTGCTAGCACCGCTAATTGTTGTCGTATCATAATAAATTTCTCGTTTCATTGCGTGACTCATCAATCAGTGTAATAAACCAAAATCTATTGCCATTCGACATTTTGTACTTTTGTTTTTGTGTCAACTCGTGTGTGAAGCCATTCACAAAGTGTTTAAAATAGTTCTATTTACGTACATTAATAAATAACAGCTTATAATGCCTGGAGTGAAGTGGCCAACACGATTCGCTAGGTCAGTCATAGTAGAGTCCCAGCTGAGAAAATATTCGAACAGGTCTCGGATAAATATATTAGAAAACATCCAGCAAGTCCAACTGATTTGCGCACGCTACGCGTCAGCCAAGTCAGGCATTCAGTTAATTACCTTTCATTTACTTATCTTATATCGCTTTGGCAAGTTCTCAGCAGAAGTGAATCAGAGCTTTAGCTCATTTTTCCATTGCAAAATATTTTATTCAGTTCAGCTCGCATCTCTCCCCTTTGTTGGCTCCAGTTGGTCAGTTTCTCAGTTGCTTAGTTCTCTGGTTGTGCCACTCGAATAATTGCTGCACGTTGCTCTGTTTGCTTACTTTTTGCTATTTGTCGTGCATTTTCTGTCAGCGGCGCTCTGATTTTATTTACTGACTTTCCGCCCCTCTGGAGCACCACAGCTCCGCTCTTTGTGCTTGCAACTCAGCGGGCAATAATTTGAAGCTTTGCATGCGGTTCTGGTTTTCGTTTGCAGCGCGTTTATTTTCCAGCATATGCTTTTGCTTCATACTGGCTATGCGGTATTTATTATTTGTTTATTTGCACTATTAGCGCTTAAATAGAAGTCGGCGCAAAGATATGGTAATGTGAGCCGCCAAATGGTTTTCCATTTTGCGTAATCGGCGGCAGTTTGTATTTAAATGCCGTCGACAGTCTGTTTGTTTGTACAGACGCATAGTTTGTGGCATTGCCGAGTGACCATTTCGGTCAATCAGTCAATCAGTCAATCAGGCTGTCAATCAGTCAAACATCAGCTATTCGTCTAGAGCAAAGCCGTTTGAGTAACAATTTAATTAATTAAAGAGTGTAATGCGAACCAGTTATGCGATAAACATCAGCGCGTTAGACGAGCACCTGTTTATCAACGTGAATATGAGCTGGGGTATGTGCGAGTAAATATTTTGCTTATGGCTGTGAATGAAATTCGAAATGTCTACTAATTGTGCATGACACGAATGGCATTCTATTTGGAAAGCCACTGCGACATGGGTGAAATGATATCAAAGCAAAGCATACACACAAATAATAGAGGGCGATTGATAGAGCCAGACGGAGACCGAGAGAGATAGCAAATCAGACTAGCTATTGTTGGCTATCTCAGTCGATATGAGATACGAATTTAGTGTAGCATATCTGCAAACTAATCAAACCGTCTTAAACTTCCATTGCTCAAGCCTAAATACATGCACTCATGAGTATAACATTCGAATGCACTTGTTGGCCGTGTTTACATTTGAAATAGTTGCAGCAGTTTTAGCTACGTTTCTGATTACTAATTCGCAATTAGCTATACACTTTTATAAAAGCTGAGAGGGTGTGTGTGTGAATGTGTCATATTGTTGACGTAAGCTGGGTTAACTGGCGGTCAGCGAATGGCTGTTTTGAAGCAACTATAGCTAATTAACTAAGATCAACATGCATAGGTGATTTGTAATTAAGCTCAATAACAAATAAAGCTGTCTATAAGAAACTGCAGAGTTCTTGTTGTTGAACCAAATACTTTACTTTATTAATAATGCAGCTGAAATTTGATTACTCATACATCACAGATACGTTTAATGAGAGTTAAACTTGGTGTTCTCTTTCCCTGAATACTCAGCTCAGATAAATTAAATATCTTGAAAAAAAAGAAATTTTTTACAAATAAAAAACTTTCGACTGAAATATCAATGTGTAGATTAAGTTTATATTTAGCATTTTTTTCATATAAGAAAATGTATTTTCGGCATCAATTGTGCCTACTTAGTATTTTATTTTTAAAGTCTTGTTAATTTGTTGTTTGCATGATAAGAAGACCTCTACTTGGTAGTCGTTTATATTAATTGGTTGTGATTAATTGAAATTGATTTCAAAATAAGTTGACTGCGATTATAAAGTGCCGGCTTGGCAATTTGCAAAAGTGTGTTGAAGACATGGACACGTGTAAAAAAGTTCAGGTAAACAAGTTGCTCGTCTACCGGAACAGATTATTTAGCTGATTTGGACTAGCTTTAGCCTGTGCCATAGTGTTTATGTTGATTGCATTATCAGGTCAAGAGGGCATTTCGACCCGTCAGTTAGCAAATTGATAGGCTTCGGGAATCCCCATCCCTATGCCCTCACACAACGTACTGACATGTAGTAACAATACAAAATTGATTGACTAACTTGACAATGTGACTTACCTCAGCGCCAAACGGTTAATTGTATCCGAAAAGCCAAGGCGAACTGAAATCCAATTAAATGTTTCTCCTTGTGGGCGGCTTGGGTATTTTGTTTTTATTTTATTTATTTATTTTATTTTTTGCCTTTGCTCTTGATGTTGTTGTCTTTTACTGTTTAGCTATTTATAGCGTTTATTTTGAAAGGTCACGTTTTGTTGTCGTTGTTCTTTCACATATCCTTTGGGTAGCCGTGTTTTCTCAAACAGCTTGTGCGCCGCCGTTGCTGTTGGCGATAATCCTTAATTAGTCTAACGAGTCGCAAATTAATCCACTTTACTTAATTAAAATGCTGTGCCGCCGCAAAAAAAAAAACGACAAAAAAACAACAAACGTTCGACCATTATAATTAAAAAATTGATGAAACAAAATGAAACGAAATGCAAAAGGCATCATTTGAATAGAGAGAGAGATATCCAGAGAATAAGAGAAGGAGACAGCAATAGCGAGAGAGAGTGAGAGAGAGAGAGTATGAGGCAATGTATTTAATTCATTAGCCAGTTGACAATTATTGATTATGGTTTTGCAATTTTCAGCGACAGCTTTTCGCTTTTTGTTCCGTTCGGTTTTTTTTATTTTGAAAAATTAATTTGAGTGCATTTCAGTTGCTTTGCTGCATTGGTTACACAATTTGTTATTGCCAACACGTTGGCCATTTATTTAATTTTTAATTATTTTTGAATGTGTTCTGGTTTCATAATTGCCAGCCCATTGTCTGGGCCTGCGTACGGACTGCACTGTGTGTGTGATTCAATTAAATACATTTCATTATTTGCGCACAATGCACAAGTAAACAATTTTGAACCAACGTGCAGTCCTCGGCGCTTGTCTCGCTCTCTGACTCTCACTCTCTCCCTCTCCCACTCACTGCCTTTTCAATTAAACTGTCAGCCGCATTTTAATTTGGCAAAATTTAATTTGGCATACACTTAACATTTATATTATGTACCATGCGTTATTTATTATACTTTTTGACATTTGCCTAAATAAACGTAGCTAATTGCTCATTCAGTGGAAAGCAACAACATTGCTGCACAGATTAAAACAGGCCACAGATCTTTCTGAATAAATTGATTTTATGAATTAGCCAGCTATTGGCGAATTTAGAAATTAATTGGAACAAGTTCATCCAAGCAGTCAGCTATTGACTGACAAATATGGAGTTAGGCCTATGGTTAGCCAATTGTGGATCGATCTTAAGCGAATTATTAAAACACATTGGTTATTCGCGTTGCGCTTTAACAATAAACATTTTTTGAAAGAAATAAAAACATGATTTGTTTTATTGCTTTCAATAGCCAAAGCTCAACCGAGTGGTTGGCGGGGATTCGTGGGGAGTGGAGGAGAGCGTGGGGAAGGTAGCTATACAGGTCAAATTCATACAGAAATTTGCTGCGTTGTTTAACTGACTTTCGTTTGCCAATTTGATATTAATTACGTTTATTTAATTGTTTACTTTCGTTAACGTTGTGCACGTTCCGACAATTAAAACTTGAACTTTTTGGGGATAAAAAGCAATTTCTGCATTTTTACATATTTGTATGCAAAATACTGTTATTTATTTTTAAGTTGTTATTAACATGCGCGCACAGCAATAATAACAACACAACAGCAGAAGCGACGGATAATTAATATAAAATGAACACACGGCCGGAGCACCCGGTTATAAAGTCTACTTCAATTTGTGACAAGCATACACACACACACACACACTACATACATAGAGACACGTTAGCATATAATTGCTTTATATATAACACCTCGGCCAAAACTGAATTTAATTGGGTAATTGAAATATTTTCTGTGGAAATTAAAAATTCCATTTTTGCACACGCTCATAACTTATTGACGAACAGCTTCGGAAACCAATCGCCGGACATGAGCGGGGACAGCAGTGCGACTGCGTAACCTGTCAGCGCGTCAATTGACAAATTGGTCGTCCGTCGTACATAGAGCGTGCGAACCGCACAGAAATTACTTTTTTCTTTTTACGAAATAAACGAAAAAAGAAAAAGGAATTCAATCGCAACTTGCTGTAAGCGCGCCACACAGTTCAAGCACACAACAATAGAGAAGCTTCAAGTGCGACTATGTACCTGTGTCTGGCTGATACACAGACGCCACACGGCAGCAATTAGCGCCGTGAGCACAAGTGTTTACTGTTGTTGCCGCGAGTTGTCATTGTTGTTGTTGATGATGATGATAATTGAGCACAGAAATCGTTGTCGCCGTCTTATAAATTTCATTGCTGATTGCCGGCGGCCAGCGAGCGCAGCACAATATCAACAAATTAATGAAAATGCCAAGCAAAACTCACATAAAAACCAGACAGTCCGATATATTTATATATATATGAATATGTATGTATATAATCCCAAAGGCATGTATGTAGGCCTGTATGGGCCATATGCATAAGTAAATATATCGCGAAATGAATGCTGTTTGACGTTGTTCAACGCGCTAATTCTTTTGGCCAGCAAATGCGACAATAACAAACAGCCGAAATGCTAATTAGTTTCATGTGTGACTAATGGATGGATGAAACGGCACAAACACAAGCACAAATATATACGCACACACATACACGCACACACACACACACACACACGCACACGTTCTCAGATACTTTTACACATGCGTGACTGATGTCGCTCTCATTGCTTTTGGTGTTGTTGTTGCTGTTGCTGTTGCTGTTGCTGTTGTTGTTGCAACACACTTAATTAAAATAGTACACTATGAGACTCTGAGGGGGTCGCCACATTTGTTCGTTCTATTTTAATAGCCTGTGCCTCATTATAATTACGTTTATAATTGGCCGGCGCGCAAATTGAATTTGACTTTAGATACGTCAACGTCAAAATATGCTCCGGGTTTTCTGCGCCTGCTGCGTATCCGGCCGAGCCACTTGTACTATAACGTTAAGCGTTTTGCGCGTACGCGTCCCGTCCAGGTTGCTCAAACACGGCGACGATGACGCTAGCTGTTTGCGTTCTTCAAATGGGCACCGACAGCAGAGTCCGATATCGAATACCGAATACCGACCACGACAAACGATTCTAAACGACTTCTGAGTGAATGCTATAAAGCACGAATGCGACGTCGTCGACAACGACAGCGACAGCGACGACGGCGACTGCGACTGCGACGACGACGACAACGACAACGACGACGACGACGACGATGGCAACGACAACAACAAGCAACAGCCAACGACCGCTGAGGACTGGAAACTGTTGCTGCTGCTGCTGTGGCTGTGAACTGCGCCGTGCAACTATTTAACGACGACTGAATGTGGCAATTATGTATCTAGATACATTTTGGCCAAGCGCAGCGCCAGCGTCGCTGCTGCCGTCGCCGCTGTTGCTGGCGCGACGCGCTCTTCTGTCTGCCTGTCTGTTTTGTTTGGCTGTGTGTGTGGGGATTTTGTGTGGGGGTTGCTAAACGAGGCAACCATCATAAAACATATTACTATAATTACAATTATGCTGCGCTCTCGCACGCACACATGCACACAAGCACAGCACACACGCTCTGCGAGATACACAGCCAGAGATACAAGCAGTTGTGCCGCACGTGAACATAACGCACGGCTATAAAGCACACAAATACACAAATTTTCATATGCATTACAGCTTAATTGTATCTTTAGCTATTGTTGTTGTCGGTGTGTGAACTCATAAATTTATTGCGGGCCGCTGTTTATGTTGCTGCTATTGCCATCAGCAACATGTTGCTGTTGCGATTGCTGTGAGTGCTTGGGCATTTGTATCTTATTGCTGTTGCTCATTGGCAACGTAGCGACGTCAGCGCCGCTTGTTGGATGATTATTAAATGCTGAATGTATTTTATTGCTGTTGCTGTTGTTGCTGGCTGCGCATTAAGACAGCGCTCAACGCTCACGCCAGTATCTTTTTGCATTGCAAATTGCCGGCGTCGCTGGCATCGTTGGCATCGCGCGCTGTGAGTTTGTTTTTAATTCTCTATAATTGAGTTATATGTACTTTAATAAGTTGGCGGCGGATGCTGCGTTTGGATTGGATTGGTGATGTTGCTGCTGCCGTTGCCGTTGTTGCCGATACGGGTGCTGCTTTAGGGCGTTCGCAGCCATTCACTTTGTTATTGTCGACGACGGCGACGACGACGACGACGACGTTTAGCGCTAATTAATGCTGAGCCAACAGCTTTCGATTGCTTTTTATTGTTAGTGCGCGGTGCTCGCTGCTCGCGGCTCGCGGCTCTCTGCTCGGTCCCTTGTGCCTCGATGTTTTTGTCTTTCGTTTTCTTAATTGTTCTCTCAGATTTATAATTTGATTAATTAGATCGATGCCATTTCGATTCCAGGCTGCTCGCGCGCTTCAAGACCCTTTCTATAAATTTTTCTGCTCTTCAATAGATATTTATATATATTTATATGTATATTTATAAGTATACTGGATAATTGCTTAGTTGTCGTTGATATTATTATTGATTTAGCTGCTGCTGGTGCTGGTGCTGCTGCTGCTGTTGCTGTGGTTGTTGTTGTTGTTGGTTGTTATTGCTTGTGCAATAATTGGTGTATAATTTCATTTCCTGGGAACTCTGCGCCGGGTCGTGGGCCAACAAATGCTTTCATTGTATTTTAATGTCGTAATTCACAGCGCTTGGGCAAATTAGTCAGCTAAGCAATTTGCTATAAGTATATATATGTATGTACAATCTACAATATGTATGAGCAGATGTACAAATATACAAATGAACATATGCGCGAGTGCTCAATTAGCTGTAAGGGCGCAAGTGTTCTCTGTGCTGCGATTATTAATAGGCGTTATGCTATCGATAAGACCCATTAGTCATCATCAAATTATTAACCAACCAAATAAGAATGCCATGACTCTGAAGAAATATCAATATATTAATTATATATCTATCAATTATATGCCAAATGTTTTAATTTGCTTATTTATTTATAAGAGGTAAGTAAATGTATTTTAAATTTATATAATCGTATTAAGTTTACTCCACATACTTAAAAACTATTCAGAATTATGAATAATATTGCTTAATAATGATCCGAGTTGAAGTTGCTGAGTGAACCCTCGTTAAATGGCGAACAACAATAGAAATGAGAAAAACTCTTTTTGCCGCCAACATCATTAGCAATCTGCATAACAACAACTATATGACAACAACAATAGCACCAGAGCGAACTCTGATTGCTAATTTAAATAGAACTACGTCGTTTTATAGCGAAGGGCAGTCAACAGCAAAGAAATAGTATATAAAAACAAGCTATAGCTCACTCGAAGTAGCAGCTTACCGACACTGAAAGAAAGCAAATCAAGAGAACTATAATGGTATATAGGTATGTACCTTTCGTTACGATGAAAATGTTGCTCAAGTTGCTGAGGATGAAGCAAATTAGACAAATTAGACACTTGAATAAACACTATACGTCACTCACACACACACATATATATATGTATATATAAATTCATTGAGTGCCGCGAGTGGCATGAGGAAGCGTTTTTAAATGCATGCAAAACAAATTGTGCTGAGCCGTTGACGATTGATGCCAGCGTCAAAGCAACGGAGTCACTTTTACTTGGATTATTATTGGCTTAGTTTATGCAATAAATACGACTGAGGACGTCGACGACGACGACAACGACGACGACGACGACGACGACGTCGACGAAGAGGACGAGCTCAAAACACAGCGATGCTGACTGCGATGGTCGTTAACGCAAAACGTCAATTTACAACTGCGAATGTGATTGTGAATGTGAATGCCCAACAGCGCCAAACGAGCCAGGCAACATCAGCGACCATGGCTGGGCAACGTGGCAATGGCAACATGTTGCGTGTCAAGGATGGCTTCGCAACATGCGGGGTCCAGTGCAAGGCGCTACGAAAAGTACAAGCAAATAAACTTATTATAAATATCTCCACTTAAACCAAGCGACGCTGACGACGACTTGCTGCTGCCGCTGTCGCTGCCACTGCTGCTGTTGTTGGTGTTCGTCTTGCTGTTGCTGCCAACGTCGCTGTGGGGGCCCCATTTATGCTGCGAGCCAACAATGAGATACAAATGCGCACACGCAAAGCTAAATGTGCTCTCGTTCACTCAAACAAACACACACACACATACGCGCGAACACATACACATGAACGCACACATATTATGAGAGTCCCGACAGTCGGACAGATGAACGGCTGTCAAGTCGCAATAAGCAACAAAAGCATTAAATGATGACAACAACATTGCGCTTAATGGACTGCCACTGCCGCGTTCGCGTCTCAATTCAAAGTGCATTTTGTGCTCTCTCTCACGTGCCCTCTCTCTCTCTCTCCCATTCTCGCGCGCTGCGCCTCTCTTTCACGGTGCTCTCTCCTTTTAGATTGTACTGCTCTCCCATTCTTACGCGCTGTTTATATGCACTGACTGTTTGCTCTTGGCTTGCGTTATAAATCCATTATAATAAAATCATTTTGTTGGTTTATTAGTTCAGCAACATGTTGCTGCGGAGCAGTCAAGTGCTTTCGCAACATGCTGCTTCGCTTATAAATATTGCAAGTGTTTTCAATTAGCTCACATTCTGTGACTTTCATATTAAATGAGAGCGAGCCTTCTGGCATGACTATGCGAGTGCCAGAGTGTGCATGCTTACATATACGTGTGTGGGTGTGTGTGTGTCTGGAGCTGTTTCCAATTATAAATTGCAAGTTGCAAGTGCCGTAATTAAAAAAGAAATAAAATAAAGCTTGCTTGAAAGGTCAAAGTTTTTGAGGTCAGCTAAAAAAAGGTCAATGCAGTTTCTTAGTCGACTTTTAACAGCTTACAACAAGCACATTTCCGAAACGCGTCCTCCCCATATTTCCAATAAAATTGCAATGAAAGCACTCTCCCCGTGCATTTGTGTGAATGTAATAATGTGTATGTGAGTGGGTGTGTGTGTGTACATGTGTGTTGGTGTGTGTTTCTGTTTCTGTTTCCGAAAGCAATTTCCGCCTGTGTCCGCAATTAAAAAGCAATATCATTCCGAGTAGACGTTAACGCAGAATTGAATTGAATTTTTATGATGTGTTTGTTAAATGCTTTCATAAATGGCAAATTTTCTAGTCCGACATATACGCCACATACACACACTACACACACAAGCAACTCACTCAGTAATGGCTGCATGTAAAAGTCACAGGCAAACAGAAGCACCACGCAAAGCAATGGCTTCCAATACGATGCATATGTACATATGTCTGCATCTCTGTATTTTGTCTGTGTATATAGCTGCATCGACGTCTACGTGCATAACGGTATCTCGATTGAAACGAAATCAAATTTCACAAAGTAGCTTCAAGGGCGGGCCAATGTTGCAATAGGAACATATGGACGTTCCATCAGACCTTTCCCAGCAATGAGTTGGCAGCATGATTTTCTCCGTTTATCTGGGGTAGTTTACATCGAAACATATCCGTACTATTTGTGTTTTATGCAGTCCTACAAAATTGCGCTTAAAATTAATAGAATGCGCTGCAAAGCAATTCAGCTTAAATGAAAACATGTTGAAACGGATATCAATTTGTATTTCAATTTCATTCGTATGTGACACGATATATATAATAAATAAATAAATAGTAACTGGCAAATACGAATTACTGACAATTCAAGTTAATTAAAACTCTGCCATATAAATTAACATTATTTTATTAAAATGGTTTTTTCACTTTCCGTGTGCACACAATACCGAAAGTGAAAAAAAAAACATTTTATATACTATTACTTACAATTTTATTTACATATGTAAATATTTAAGTATATTAAATTAAAAATGATTTCATTCATTAAAAAACAATCAAAGTTTTGTTAACTTTTTACCGCCTCTTGTCTGGCAACCTACCCCATGATCAATGTCTTCCTCTGCTATATTCAGCTTCATGCATTTGGCCACCCTCTTAGCTTCCCCATCGAAATCACTTCACCCAGCAGCTCCTTAACAGAACAATAAGGGTTTAATTTTTGTCGTTGTCATTTTTGCATTAATGTTCAGTCAATAAAACGTCATAATTAAAAAATAATTCTGCCCATATGCAAAATGCGGCATTTGTGGCTGCAACTGCTGCTGTTGCTGCTGCTGCTGCTGGTGCTGCTACGGCTGCCAGAATGACCTTAATTGCTGACATACGTGTGGCAGCGATTCATTTGCAGCACTATGGCTCTGCTAGTGTGTGTTTTGTGTGTGAGTGCCGGCCTGTGTGTGGCAGCAAGTGAGCCTGTGTTGCAACTGTCAAATGAATAAAATTAAGTGTAGCTCTATTCCTGTTGTTGGCGTTGTTGCTGCCGCTACTGCTGTTCGTGCTGCTCTTTCGCACGATGCGGCAGCAACAGCAACAGCAACAGCAGCTGGTTGGCAGGATATGTTGTTGCACTAATTGAATGTGGCAGGCATGCAGTCGACGGACAGAAAGTTGAGCTTGTCTTTCGCCACAGCCTGCTGCACTTACCATCTCGCTCTGGCTCTGCCTCTGCTGTGTCTGTATCTGTGTCTGCATGGCTGTCTGTGTGCGTATGTCTGTAATTGTATCTGTATCAGTGTCGGACACACAAGTAGCTTCATTTTGCGCCACAATTCGTATTCGCATTCGCATTTTAAGTGCAACGGCACACAGATTGCTATTGCTGTTGACATGGCAATGCAATAAAAGTTTGTCTTGTTGTGCTGCAATTGCACTGGCAGCAAAAGGCGACTGCCAACCCTACGGCACCATCAGGCAGACGTCAGCCGTCAGGCGGCGGCAATTGTTTCCTATTATTGCTTATGCTGATGATTAAGAGCGCCAGGCGCAGTACTTTCTCCATTGGGTCCACAGCGACCACACAAAAGCCATCAGCCAGCGACAGATTAAAATGTGTTAATGGTTCGCAACACACACATACACACACACATACGTATTCATTTAGAGTAGGGAGTCTACAAATTGCCATCAATTAGAATTAAGTAAAGGCAAATCCGTTCACATATCTCTTGCTATTCTTGACTGCTGGACAAAAGAATTTGCCTAATCAGTTTTGCATTTAATATGCAAATCAACTATGAACATTTCATGCTAGACTTGTGCTTCAAGACAATAAGTCTGCAGTCCCAATGGCAAAAGGCAATCGCAATGGCAATGGCAGCACAATAACTGCCTGGTATTTGTGCTTCAGCATTAAAGTTTTCGAATATTTTCTAAAATATTTATAAGCATTTGCCAGTCAAAAATGCTGTTCATGCAGTATTTCCTGCCCGTCTACCTGAGCTGTGTGTTTGCACTGGCTTATTGTCTATTTACTTGAACAACATGGGCAGCAACAACAACATCGAGTGGCCTTTTATAACTTTATATGTGTATGTGTGTGTGTGTTCCATTTTGCCCATCTTTGCCAAATTCCACCATGTACTTGACTGTAAAGTGCAGTGAAATGAATAATATTGTTCAACTAAATCAGGTTAGTAAACTTTTTTAAACTCCCCAAAAGTTGATAGACAACAAAGTTGAATCAGTTTAACACATAAATAGAACTTTATTTAATTATTCACTAAATATTACTGCTCCTTAATTTAAGATATGTGCATTTACGAACGAAAGGAAAAAGGGAATATATAAAGGATGTTTTTTTAGAGTAACAATAAAACTTATTAATTATAGCTGATAGTTTCATTTAATTAAGTACAGCTTGACATTTTATTATATATAAAATAGCTCTTGGAAATGAGTGATACTTTGATCAAGAATGACTATTTTAAACATGAATATCTATTATTAATATATTTAAGACATTTCCCAAAGTTTTTTTATTTTTCTTGACTTTTTAATATTTTTATTATTAATTTCGAGTTTGACCCTTTCATATACTGAGATCCCCAAAAAGACAAAACTTAAATTCAAATTTCTTTTATTATTATGCCAGTCTGAAAAATGGATATTTTCAAAGTAAACTCTGGCTTGTGGGACACTTGGATATGAATTAAAATTTCAGACAAATCATGTCTTTTATTATTCTATATCATAGAAGCAGTTCTGAAAATAAACATATTTGAGCCTTAACACGCCTCTGGCAAATTGAATGGCAAATGCTCACTTGCATTGTTATCTCAGTAACGTCTCATTTTTTCAGATTGACAGCACAAATGCAAAAGCTTACTGCTTTAATTGCACTCAGCGGCAGCCACTGTGACTCAAAAGTACTTAACTACACATAGAGACAACAGATTGCACAGCCTTGTATATAGAAAAAAACTGGAGGATCTCAGGTTGCGTTGCCAACAGATGAAAATATGGCTCAGGCTGAAGCTCAGAGCCAGTCGAGCTCAGGCACTGTTAACTAACGTTCGTAGCCGGCTTACTTGTTCTGCTCTTAGTTCCAGAAGTGAGTCCGACTATACAGCGGACAAGCCAGGCGGCCCACCCACGCCACTTACGCTGAAAAGCATGTTTAATGTTGCTTACTTTGTTTGCCATTTGCTGTATCCAATGCTTGTCGCTGGCTCTGCTGCTGCTTTTGCTGCCGTCTTTACTACATACTTACCAACATATATACATACATAAATATATATATTTATATATATTCCAGCAATTTGTTACATGTACTTGGGCCCGTGCCTGTTTGTGTGCGTGTGCAATATGCTGCAGGGGCACACACGACTTGGTAATGGCCCTAGACTCAGACTTAAGCTTCGATTCACTAGACGTGCCATCGCCCCCACCCATGCTTACACCCATCTCCAGTCTCCTTGGGCGGCAGCGCAAAAGTCAAGGTAGGTATTTTACTTGTGAGCTGCAAGTAAGTGAAAAACTTTGTGCACACGTTGCTTCATAAATAGGTCCAACAAAGCGGAGACAAAACAAAGCCGCACTTAAGCGACACTATAAAAATAATATAGGGAGAAAGTTGAAGAATTTTGTTAATATAAGCGATTTACAATTTTCCACATTCTTGTAAAATTCCTTTTACAATCGATTTAAATACATTAATATTTATAGTTATTAAAGTAGAGGCATCAAAAGTTGTCGATACGAAATTGATGTCGATATTTACTTTCGCAGTAATGTTGAGCAATTTCTATTGAAATGACATGTTAATATGCAAGTTGACAGACTCGCACATTCTTGTAAGTGAATATTCTGGTAATTTGGCAACATATTTGTCCATGACATTGAAATTATGTTAATTGATTAATGGCCGGCTAAGTGAAATTAGCTAACAATGCATGTGAAAGGACAGCAACGGCAACATCAATTACTCAATGAAAGTCAGGTAAGTTGGCCTGGCGACTGACTAGTGTGAGGTGAGGGAGTTGGGCGTGCCAGATAGATCAAAAGCCATCAAATAACGAACAGAGCGACAGACAATCGAGCAGAAGCAATCACATTTCATGCATTCACTGCTGTCGTGCTAACAACCCTGGCAATGCCTCCCCCAACACCCCCAATCAATGATAATCCGATTCTGCAGCCCTGCCCCGCACTGCACTGGCAAATGACTTTACAGACGAGGCAGGCAGGCAGGCAGGCAGGCAGGCAGCCAGAGCATTGGGATGGGGTGGACAAAAAGCACCACTGTCAGAGCCAGATTGCTGCTGCATTTGGTAAATTAATCAACCCTTGCCGAATGACGCATTTTTTGGGCGTCGTGGTTGACAAGTCTGCTGGGCGACAAGCTATAATTGCGCTTCAAAATGCAACCTTTACGTTCTTTGTTTCCCTGTTTAAATACCCAAACCATTTGACATTTGCCAAACAGCTTGGAAATCAATTGCATTCAATTCAATTAGAGATGCTCTGCAACAGTGTTTCAAGTGCCGTGCTCCAAAGTTGAACTGCAAATTCAGATCGAGCCCAGAAGCAGCCACAAAAATGTCATCAATATCTCTGATGGACCTTGCGATAATTATCTTGAGGCATTTGTGCAGGTGATAAGTGCTAAATAGGAATAGAGCTATGAACTATTTTAAAGATATTTAAATAATAAATAATAAAAATAAGTCAAATATTTATCATTACTTTGAAATTACAGGTCATCAGATAACCAGTTGCTATTGTTGCTGCTGCTGGCTATATGCAATATGCGTGTAATTTACAAAGTCCATTGTTTCTGCAGTTTTGTGTGTGCGTGTGTATTGCAATTGTGATGTAAAAATGGTTCTGTTTCGATTTTCGATTTTGCCATTCCGATGCACCCTGCTCGTGTGCGTGGTTGCATCCTTCGGTGGCACACGCCCACAATTTATAAGCCTTTTGGCTACATTTGTGGCTTTGATTGCAATTATCTTTTGAATTTTGTATTTATTTGCTACACTTTGTCCAATTGTTCGCTCATCGGCTTTTGTATTGTCATTGTTACTGTCATTTGTGTCCATATGTGCAAATAAACTGCAAGCACATCGCAAATGAAACAGCCATGGGTTGTGGGCTTTGTGCTATGTTCTGGCCCCGTAGGCTAGCTAGGATTGGGGCACTGCATAGCAGGCGATAGCAGGTGCGTGTGTATGTGTGTGCGTGCGTGTGAGCATGCAGTTAGCCAGTTTTCAATTTGGCAATTTGCCGTTTATTAATTGGCAATAACGTGCAGTCTGTAAGCTATTCAAACGAGCCTCGAGGCTGTTGGTCCTGACTATTGCCAGGCTTCACTGGCAAGCTGATAACATTGCAAAAGGTTTTTGAACACAGGCTGAATAATACAGGAGCCTATTGTATTAGATTAGCTTTTATTGGTTTATTGACGCTTAACCTTTCATCAGTGTCTCGTAGGAAACTATTGAAGGCCAAGCCGAACTTAGAACTGACCCCAGCGGTTGGGCAAGCCTTCGCCATTTGGATAGTTTCGACTGTTCATATGTTTGATCAAATAGTTGGCAAAGTATTCGCCGCGTTTCTCCGGCTGGACACACTGCACTGCTCTCCAGCCATTCGAAATGAGAGCGCACCTCTCCGGCTGCACATGAAAGGGCTTTGAGATAGTCAAAAAGCTCCGTTTCTTGCGCGGCCGTTGGGGCACGTTCACCGGCTCCAGCATGTGGTGCAATTCAATGGGCGGCTCGTGCGGGGCATCTAGCAACATGGCCACTTGGGGATTCTCCAGACGCATCGCTTGCATCTGCACATCATCCAGTTGCCTTTGCCATGCATTCTCGCCGTCGCCGTCGCCATCACCATCGCCGTCACCGTCACCGTTTCGTCCATTGACAACGTCGGCAGCTTGAACCTCGGGCAGCTGCAAGTGTATCAGTTCATCATTTACTCTATGATCCATATGGCTGCTCTTCACTTTCCTTTGCGTTGATTCGAAAGTGTTAAGAAAAATTCCTTTAATACGGCAGTAAAGATATCTGCTAGAGTGGAGTGATTCTAGACGCTTTATTTTTTTTCTATTTTTGTTTTGTGTTGTGATTTTAGACATTTAAGTAAAACTAAATTTGCTAATAACAAAAATAACACAATTGTCCAAATTATTCTCCAGGCCTGCCTGACTTGACAGAGAGATGCGCACATGTGTCCTCAATGTTAAGTGCAATCTTTTTTTCGATCAGGTCTAAATGCTTTTCGATGACGATTTCATATGCGATAAAGATACTACTGTGATCCGATATACATACACACAGCATCAGGAGAGCTACACATACATATGTACATGCTAAATATCGACAACTTAGTCGTCTGTAGAGCCGTCTGGCTGCCCAGCGGCAAATGCTACTGTTGCTCCCCAGCGTCCGGCTACAAATGGATAAATGCTGTCTGACATTTACCCATTTCACCCCTCGTATACACTTACACATACGCTCACACCTACGTAGAAAACCCGGCGCCCACCCAATGATTGCACGCATTTAGCCCTCTTTAACCCGATGGCGATTGTGTGTGTGTGTATGTGTGTGTGTTCGTAGCTGTGTGGATTGCTGCCGCTATTGTTACTGCTGCCACCGTCACCATCATCATTACAAGCAATTTAATTCGTCGAAATGTTGCCATGAAGCACACGCCGCAGCTGCTGCCCCATGTTGTAAGTAGGTGTTGGTGTTGTTGTTGCTTGCGCTAATAGTGTGCGATAAACGATGTCATTATGGGTATACAATTAATAATATTGCTTATTATTAGTGCTTATATAATAACTGTAACTCGCAATTGCCACATTTGAATCTACAATTTCAGTTTTACAGCTTCATCAATTTGTTCGGCAGGCAATTGATGTGCTTAAATACCATTTTTGGGGGTCGCTTAACTCGAAGCTTTTAAATGAAAGTCAGGCAAGCGCGTGGTGCCCAACGCGAAAACAAAAACACACAGCCACACGCACACACACAGACACACACTCACGAATACAAAGTTGCGCGCATCCAACAAGTTAGCAGCTGGCAACATGTTGCTAGCAACATTTAAGCAAAGCGCCGTCGCAGTTGCTCACAAACAGCCAATTTGCTACTCACTTTCATTATCGTTCTCTTTCTCTCTCCCTTTGGCTCTCACTCGCAGTTGCCGTCTCGCTCTCTGAGTGGTATGTGTGTGTGCGCGCTTCTGCTTGCAATTTATTAAGGTCTATCCTGTGGCACTGTGTGTAATCACATTGTTGCCATTTTCACTTCATTATTTGCTTTTATATGTGGCAATTTTGTTTTATTGCTGGCGGGCTGGCAGCATCCTTCGGCTTGTGCTCGCGTAAGCTTTGGCGCACTCCCTGGCGTCCCCTCACTGCGTTGCTCTCCCTTTGAACACTTGCAATTTAGACGGTTAAGCAACAAGGCCTCCTCACGCCACCCATTGGAGTCAAATCCAGCGCCAGTTGGTGCTCAATGTCGCTTATTCGCTTCTGGCGACCTTGTTTGTGTGCTTGCGTGCACGTGTATGGGTGTGTGGGTGTATGTGCGTGCGTGTGGACAGCAGACAGTAATTATTATCCCATGTCCAGCGATAATTGGATTCAATGAAATGTCTCCATGGAAGGTTCGACTGTGCGAAGTAGCATAAAAGGCTTCGCATGTCAATGTGTCAGCTCCACAGTGCTAGTTCTTCTGTCTACGTATATATATATGTGTGCGTGTGTGCGTTGGTTCGCTAGGATTTCTATGTTTATTAAACGCTTGGATTCCAATTGAATATTGTGAACTAATTTCATACAGTTGGATAAAAACACATTTTCCCACTATTGTTCGTTCGCTTTGCGAGAAAAAGCAAATAAGGTGCATTGAAATACACGAAAACTAACTTGCGCCTTGTCCTCGTGATAAATAGTTGAAGAGTTGAGAAACAAACCAAATGACCCCATTAAACAACAATTAATCAATGTGCGAAAAGGGTATATTTTAAAGAACTCCATTTCATAAGTATAAGCAATTTCCCAAGGTTATTATATTAATATTATTATATTAATTTCTTAATATGCAAATGAGTAATAATTTTTAATATTTTTTATGAATATAAATCAGCAAGCTTAGTTAATTAATTAATATAATAACAAAATCGAATTTCGAATGTTTTACACAATCTAACAAATTCTAATCGAAAACATTGCAGTCTGACATGATCAACTCCAGGATACATGTGCATAGTTCTAAGATATTGAAATATATCTGGACTTTAGGCAATCGTTAGCAGCCGCGAGGTAAGGTATTTGTTGAATATTATTTACCAATAAAAAAGGAAGGTATATTAATTTAAACATTTTTAATTTGTCTATATAGCTCCTTGAAAGCAATCTCAGTTCTATCAACAAAAGAGTTTGCTAGCTAACAATGACTCGTTATAGACTTACTTCTTTTTTTTCTAGGTATAAACAGCCGAAGAAAGTGAAACCAGGTGGCATATAACTGAGAGTGGCTTGCCTCTAACTATATTTGACAATGTTTTGCAAACGTCAAAAAAGATGAATGAATTGAATTGATGGATTAAAAGACATTAACATTAAAAATGTTACTTCTCGATCTACGAAAACTGTGCAGTGGAGTCAAGGGTTGTATTCTTAATATTCTATATAATACAATCAATATTCTTCAGAATACAGGCAATCATAAAAACGGTTCCAATAATAAATATATTATAAATGGGCTTTATTATTAAATAAGCATCGATGCTAGCTAAGTTTTGAACAGGTGTCGTTTTGAAAGCCATTTGGTGTGATCATAAAATTGTCATTATCAGCTCATAATGAATTAAATCACATTAACATAGCCCAAATATTGTACTAATGAATCTTTCAGTATTCGTGGCACTGAACATTTGCCCCAATGGTATTTACCAGCTGCCAGCTAATTAAATTGAAATATTATTGCATTTAATTATCGGGCTGGCATTCGGCGTGGCCCATAGAACTGCAATTGGCTGAGCCTCCCATTCGGCTCGTCGCCGTTCTACTCTACTCGACTCTAATGTTTTGGTGCGTTCTCTGGCCTAGCATAAAATGTCAACTGCATTAGCATCATCATAATGGCAACACTCTAAAGACTGCCCGGGAGCAGTCTGCCCGTCCGACCGGGCCTTTGATCTGCGTTGGCAGCGATGGCGGCGACGTTTCGCTTGTTGAATCCAATATAGACAAACATATTTTTTATGGCGGGAGAGAAACTGAGATGTGAGATGTGAGATGCGAGCTGCGAGCTGCGAGATGGGAGCACTGACTGTGTGCGTTTTGCTTTTATATTTTCGTTTTTAATTACTTTTGCGCTATTTTTGAGCTGTCTGCGGTACAGGCCCATAGCTGTACCCAAACCCGTACCCGTACCCGAGTAATGCGAAGGCAGCCTCTTTACTAGGTGTTAATTTATTTTTAATTTTTATTATTTATCTGAGCTATGCGATCTCTTACAGGCTGCGACGACAACGGCAAAGGCAGCGACAACGACAACGACAACGGCAACGACAACGTTGACGTCGACGTCGGCGACATTGCAGCCAGGCCCGTCCCCTTCATAGAGTCAGGCACACATTTAAGTGGATCTCGCAGTGCGCCATTCAATTCCATCATCAAAATGTTGACGTTTCTATTGCATGCCAGTGGCAGTTGGGCTCCAACTCGGGTCTCCGGTTCTCTGGGCTCTGCACTCTCGCATGCAATTAATATCATTTTTATGTTCTAATGACATTCGTTGCGCTGCATTTCGTATGCATTTAGTGGCCCCCAACATCATCGCTCAAAACGGCGTGGCAGGCACGAATCTTTCAAGTTGTAAAAACGCCATTAAATTGGCAGCGAAGTGGATGCCAAGCTGCTATTGCCCCTGCCCGCCATGCCCATGCCCGTGGCTGATCTGGGATGATCACTCAACAGCCAAACAGCCTGGCGGGCTGCCATCGCCACAGATGCCTCGGCTTCGTAGTCATAAACTTACCAATGCGTAGGGCGCCCCCATTAATGGGTGCGGAGCGGGTCGGGGTTTGGCTGGGCCCTTGTACTGTATGGCAACATGCCTCTTGTTTATTGGCATTAATTAATTTGTATGTTTTTATTTCGATTTGAGTAAAATTTTCTACGTTCACTCTTTTGTTGTAAATATCATAAATACTTCGTTGTCGGCCCCATAAACTTGCTTCAAAATTATAAAACCCCAAAAAATGTAGAAAGTTGCGCCACTGACACGGACAGCCACTGGTGGGTGTTATACTTGGCTACTGCGTCTCTGGATACAGTTATTGTATCATGACTGGAATCTTAATGGTCAATAAAAGCTAATTAAATGTTAATTCAAAGGAATCTTGGGCCCTGACAAAGAGTTGGACAAGTCGATCAAATATGGAAAATTTTTGAATAAATCAAGTAAATCCAATAATTTAACTCTCTGTTTTAGACACACAGACAACCACACACTCCCACATTCATATATAGCCCACCAATTATGTGTGGTTCAAATGTGGTGTGTGTTGCTGGCGTATGCATCACAATTTTCACTGTAGGGTTTGCCTTTCGTTGACAGCCGTCGAAAAGGCGAATCAAAATTGTGGGATGGTGCCGGCGGGTGTCTCTGTGTGGCAGTCTGGCAATGGCAACCGTCTGCATCTCTTTAGCATCAACAACGTCGTGGCTCTCTTGACTTCTTGGCTGTCTTATGAGTGTCTGCCCCTGTTCCCGGTTGGAGTCGAGTGGGGGCTATTCACCGTGTCCCTTTAGTCCAACCCAGCAAATCGTCGTGTGTTCGCCTCGCAAACGCATTTTCAAAATTGATGCAGTGTCTGCGTTTAGGTGGAAAATTGAATTTTCATTTTCAGCTTTCAGTTTTCAGTTTTCAGTATTCAGTCTTCAGTCTTCAGTTTTTATTTCATTTTATTTTTTCCTCACCGCCGTCTGTCGCAATGTGTCCCGTTCGGGGTGTGTTAACTTAAATTTGATGAGCCCGAAGTATTTAAATAAATTGTTGCATGCGCTCTGTTTGACATTTTGTTATTTTCGTTGTTGATTGGTGAAGTTGCCGCCTCGAGAGTATGTGAGTGCCCATTCCC